TGTATGTTACATGTTTGTATGTATGTTACATATTTGTATGTCTGTTACATGTTTTTACGTACGTTACATGTTTGTACGTCTGTTGTCTTTCTGTCTGTATGTCTGTTACATGTTTGGATGTTTAATGTATGTACGTATGTGACATGTTTGTATGTCTGTTATATGTTTGTACGTCTGTTACATTTTTGTACGTCTGCTTCATTTTTGTATGTCTGCTACATGTATGTATGTATGTTACATGTATGTATGTTACATGCTTGTATGTCTGTTACATGTTTGGATGTTTAATGTATGTACGTATGTGACATGTTTGTATGTCTGTTTCATTTACATGTTTGTATGTCTGTGACAGGTTTGTACGCCTGTTACATGTTTGTATGTCTGGTACATGTTTGTATGTTACTTGTTTGTATGTCGGTTACATGTTTGTACGTCTGTGACATGTTTGTACGTCTGTTACATGTATGTATGTTTCTCTCTGAATATCTGTTACATGTTTGTACGTCTGTTGTCTTTCTGTCTGTATGTCTGTTACATGTTTGTATTTCTGTTACATGTTTGTATGTTTGTTACATGTTTTTACGTCCGTTACATGTTTGTATGTTACATGTTTGTATGTTACTTGTTTGTATGTCTGTTACATGCTTGTATGTCTGTTACATGTTTTTACGTACGTTACATGTTTGTACGTCTGTTAAATGTATGTATGTCTGTTACATGTTTGTATGTCTGTTACATGTTTGTATGTTAAATGTATGTACGTATGTGACATGTTTGTATGTCTGTTACTTGTTAGTTTGTCAGTTACTAGTTTGTATGTCTTTTACATGTTTGTACGTGTGCTACATGTGTGTAAGCCTGTTACATGTTTGTATGTCTGTTACATGTTTGTATGTCTGTTACATGTATGTACGTTGCATGTTTGTACGTTTCATGTTTGTATGTCTGTTACATGTTTGTATGTCTGTTACATGTTTGTATGTCTGTGACATGTTTGTATGTCTGTTACATGTTGGTATGTCTGTTACATGTTTGTATGTCTGCTACATGTTTGTATATCTTTTACATGTTTGTCCATCTGTTACATGTTTGTACGGCTGTTTTGTTTCTCTGTGTATGTTTTACATTTGTTTACGTATGTTGTGTATCTTTATATTTTTAATACCGAGTGGAAGGGCTTAGTATAATTCGCACAATTTCTGCGCGTTCAGGGAAAGGGGTTGTCTTTTTTTAACAAAAAATACACGTAGTCGAGCACAAATGAACGCGGATAATTATACCTGCTTTGTGATCTTGAGCGGTATGCATTGCATTAAAGCAACAAGGCCGAATGAAAAAAAATAAGAACGGAAGGAATAGCAGTTTACACGAGTGATCTCCCCTTTGCTCATGTGCTCGATTATATTGTGTACATTTCGCAGAGGTCCATTGCCATTATGTAAAGTTTCTTAAAAAAACACCATGAAGCTGTTAAAAACACATTGCACGATCTCATAAAATTATGTCGAATCTTTGGAGATACCTTCCGTTGAATAAAAATATACGGCAAGTTTTATCATGCTGTATATTAAAGGCTAAGTTTGTTTTGAACACAAACAGGAATTATTTTGCGAGTTTTCGGAAACGCCTTTTTCCTTTATCAAGCAAAGAGTGCAAATGACCGATGTCTCGACTCGAAACCAATGAAAGAATTAGTAAAGTCAGCTGTCAAAAATCAAACAGACATTTCGCCCAATTGCTCTTTAATAATGCTTTCAATCAGGGGGACGGGTAGCCTTCGTCTTTGTTCATCGAATCCAAGTCTCTCCTTACCCAGATGGATTTTTTTTATATATTTTCCTGACTTTCCAGTTGTCCTCCCTTTCAAGCACTTTCGAGTTGTTCCAGTATGATCTGTAATGGCTGATTCCTTGTAATGTAAACTTGCTGTTTAATGGCTTCAACGTCTTTCCTATGTTCTTTAAGGCATGTCCCAAATTCCCGGCCAGTTTCCCTGATGTATGTAAGGAATTTGGTAAATCATCCCTGTTTTGTCTTCCTTCGGCAATTTGTCTTTCTTATGAAGTAACAGTAGCTTGATGGTGTGTGGTCGCATGGGCGTGCTGATGTGATGTTTTACGCAAAACTCTTGAAAGTGCTTCAGACACACCAATTATGTATGGGATAGTGACCATGCCGTTGAGCTTAGAAGATAAAGTTTTTTTCCAATTTCGTTATACATAATGCATACAGAATTCTGAAACAAATAATCACAATAGTGAGTAAGGGTTGTTTCTGGCATACTTTCATTCTAAGTTAACAGGTAAAGATAAGCACGACAACGTCGTGCTGGTTATACCGGCTTTGATATAAAAAAAAACCACGCTAACCAGTTTCAACACATTAAATGTGTCGTCACCAGAACCATTGGATTTAATTCTAACATTAAATTCAATTCAATTCAATTATTAAAATAGAAAAAAAATATATGCTAAAACATAAAAAATTAAACCCAAATTATTATTATTTACTTTCATTTAATTAATTAACTATTCAACGTTAGAACTAATTGAACTTGCAAGGCAGTAATATTCCAATACTTAATGTACCTTGATTATGACTGGAAAATAAATATTGTCACACACATGTACACATAATACTTATGTGATGAACCTTCAAAATCAATTATGTTTACATCAGTTTCCTGAGTATATAGCTACTACATGTATATGAACTGAAATCAAAATGATCCTGAATGACTCCAAAAAAAATGTATAAATGTTTAACAAAACCAAGATGATGTATGTCTAAATGTATTGTAAATGACTTCGCTTTTGTTCAGGTGTATTAATTGCATAAGGGTCGATATGACTATAAGCCCAATGCAATTTAAGCCTGTCCATTTGGTTCCAGGACTGGTATTAAGAGAATAACCAGCCTTTATTTTCAGATTTACTATGATCAGATACTGATAAGTACATCGGGACAAGCTATGACCCTCTCTTGTCCGATGTTTTTGTTTCATATGAGGTTAAATCAATCAAAGAACTTATTAAAACAAGTAACCAAACTTTACCAAATACCTCTATTACACTTTCATACAAGAGGACCATGGGCCTTAACGGTCATCCGAGTCCTACAGTATTGTGTTGTTGTTGTTGTTGTTGTTTGAATAATAATGTCAAAGGAGAATGGTACATTATTTGTCATACAAAAAAAAATGTATTTCACCAGTTCGAGACGGATCAAGACGGATAGCAGTAGGTCACTTGAGCTTAAGCTTAGGTGACTTAAAGAGTCGATAATGCATTATTTTAAATAGTTTATTTATTGACAAAGTTGATTGCGTATGGCCCGCTGAACTTATAATTATCGTAAACCTCAATTGTTACTTACAATATAACCAAAAGAGACGGCTTACTACTAAGCTGTAAAAGAAGCTCAGCGATTTCTGTTTTCCTATCTTGAATATTCCCTTTATAGATAGTAACATTCATGTTTCCCCCTCCTACGATGTTTAAATATTAATTAGATTCTCAACAATTGCGAAACAGATTTTTACAATTCATTCTTATCACTCTTATTGGCCTGGATGTTTGTGCGCCGGGGTCTTGCGGTTGGGGAACACCGGGGTACCCAGAGAAAACCCACCTAGTCGGGCAGGTGACCCCATACCTTTTCACGTCCGATCGAGGAATCGAACTCCAGCAGCCTTGGTGAAGGCAAAGTGCGCTATCTACTGCGCCACCCGAGGATTCAATTCTATTATCTGGATCTGAAGATGATTGTTGAAATTTCAGCAAAATTGTCCTCTTTGGCCCCTCCCCTCAGGCCCTTGGAAACGGAAAGGTTCTTAATTGTCATACCATCAATGTGCAATCACACGTTAAATCATTATCACATTTAACATAAATGTAATAGGCCTACTCACTGCCTACCAATATGTTAGAATGAGAACAAATTAACAAGGATACATATATGTATATAAAATGCACCAAATAAAAGGAAATTTATGTATTGAGCAGTTATATGTAATTAGTTGTTTCTGTTTATTTATATTTGTAGTGTGTATGTCAAGCTGTTGTGCTATTATTTTCCACCAGGATTTGAACCTGGGTCTCCCACCACAGAGTGGCGAGTGTGATGACCACTTCACTATAGAAATGCATATAGCACACAACTATCTAAAGTAATAAAGGTTCTCCCCAGTCGAATTTCTATCTAGGTTGGCGCTATATGCAGTTGACTGGAGAAAACCTTTAACTACACGCACGCAATTGAAGTAAAAGAAGGATGTAATCACATTTTCTCATTTATGTTGATTGCTTTAGGTTTTTGAGCATAAACTACATACCTCTTGTGATTGCCTTTTGGCTATCATGGGCACCACATCTTGCTAAAACCACCCAGGCAATTTCAATCTAACGTTGCAGGAAGGTTCCATGGTCAAATGCAAGCCAAAGATAATAAAAGTTAGAAGGTACCCAAATTGATACCCCATTTTTAAAAAGTGGTCTAAAATCCTCGTTTGTGAAATCTGCGATATTTCACGTTGATGATGTCACAATGTCAACATTTACTGTTGATTCAACATTGTTTTCCTATATGTAGCAGCTTATTTTGTCTGCAAGAAGAATTATAAAACGGCCAAGTCTCTCCCAGAAGCATGCACCCCGAACCATACGGTCGTGCGAAAGCTATTATTCTCAACCCTTTTAGCATTTTTAAACCTTATTAAGTAATTTTTTAGTCAAAGTTTATGCTCAAAAACCTAAACCAATCAACACAAATGAGAAAACGTGATTACATCCCTCTTTTACTTCAATTGTGTGAGTGTACCAGCGACTCGAATGCTGTTGGTCGCGCATGTCAAAGCTATCTAACAGTTGACAGTCAGAAAATCCGCATTTGTTGTCCTAAGAAATGTGGGACATATTCCCCTATGCCATTGAACTGACAATCCCGTCTTTCACATAACAGATACATTATATCTGCGCTCGCTATACAATGGTTTTATGTAATCATCATTCACTGTTTGTACCTAATTTTGTCACTGCTCCTGAGATTTGTAGATTCTTTTTTAAGATCTTTCACACATTCAAGAATTGTGTTAGTCGTATTCTGCAATTAAGTTAGAAATATCAACATTACACAATAGTTAAAATGTCGCTACATTGGTTTTATTAGTTAAACGTCATACTCAAAAGTACTTATTTGTAACGTTTTTAAACAAGAGACCCAAGGGCCTTAGCGGTCACATGAGTTATATTATAGGTACTTGTAGCTCGATTTCATTGTTAAGATTTGATGTGGAAATCAACATGTAAACGACGTGAAATATAACACGTGTCATGTCATGTCACGAAAGGATAAGAACTTAAAAAAACAATTTAAATAATTATTTTGCTATTGAGAAATATAATATCTATAGTTATTTAGCCAATTTTCCTCTATGGCCAACCCTTGGGATAGTTCAGGATCTTACTTTCTGATGCTATTGATTTCAATTTCATTATAACTATTCCAACTAAGTTTGAATTATTTCTTGCTGAAAATGGACAAGATATAGTCAGAAGTGTTATTTCCCTATATTAACTATAGTAAACTTTATCCTCGCCCCAAGGGAGAGCAGATAACCTGGGAGATAATGAAATTTACAATTTAGATAATGCACCTAAGGACCTTTCTTTCCATGAAGAGTATTTGTTTGTAAAATTCTGATGAAGAAAATTTACTTTTAACCATTTTCCCCTAGAACCGTTTTCCAACCCTCCAGCCACTGGGGATGGGGCAGGATCTTATTTTTTCAAACCATCTAATTGCCATCTGGTAACATAATCATTCCAACCAAGTTTAAATAATTTCCTGCTGAAAATGAACGAAATATACCCAAAAGTGTTATTTATCTATATAACTTATAGCCAAATTTACCCCCTCCCCTAGGGAGAACGGGGGACCAGGGGGAACTAAAATGTTCAATCTAAATAAATCTCCGGATGATTTTTCCATTTATGCAGATACATTGACTGTAGTACCTCTGAGTCTGGAGAAGAAGATTATTGAAATATTGGTTAATTTTTCCTTTGGAGCCCCGCCCTGGTCCCTGGGGTTGGGACAGGAATCCAAATTTTATAATTTAATACTATCTTCTTTCAAGGATAATTATCACCAAGTTAGAATAATTTCCTACTGAATATTGACAAAATATAACCAAAAGTGTTATTTCCTTATATAAACTATAGTTAATATAGTAATAACGGATGGTCCGGGGGTACTGAAATTAAAAGTTAAATAAAGCCCCTGATGATCTGGCTATCCATGCAGATAAATTCACTGAAGTACCTCCGAGTCTGGAGAAAAAGATTTTTGAAATATTGGTTAATTTTCCCTTCGGGCCCTGCCTAGGACCCTAGGGTTGGGGTAGGAATCCCAATTTTATAATTGTGTAGCCTAATATACCAAGGATGAATCTGTCCAAGTTTAAAAAATTCAATCTACTGGTTGTTGTGTAGTAGTCGAAAATGTAAAAAGTTTACGCACGACGGACGACGACGAACGGAAAGGGATCAGAAAAGGTTACTTGAGCAAAGCTCAGGTGACCTAAAAGGTCTCTTCCTCATTTATTTGTCAATGTTTTAGCTAATTTAACAAGTATTCTCATATTTTTGAATGAAGTCTAATGTGTTTCCTTACCTTGACATGTTCTAACTCTACACGTAGACCTTCCATCATTAAGGATTCTTGTTCCAATTTCTGCTGGACTCCATCATTTCCAAATCCAATTTGAATATAATTGCATCCATTCATTTCTATGTTTCGAGGACTCGTATTGGTATCTTGCTGACTGGATAAATAAGCATTTTCCCTTCTTGAAATTTCATCCTCCCTACGAGAGACTTTTAATTCTCTCATAGCTAATTCTTCTTCCCTATCGTTTTGCTGAAAATGGACACAATATAGTCGGAAGTGTAATTTCCCTATATAAACTAGAATAAACTGTATCGTCTCCCCAACGGAGAGCAGATGACCTTGGAGATAATGAAATTTACAATTTAGATAATACACCTAAGGACCTTTCTTTCCATGAAGAGTATTTGTTTGTAAAAGTCTGATGAAGAAGATTTACTTTTAACCAGTTCCCCATGAACCTTTTCCAACCCTCCAGCCCCTGAGGATGGGGCAGGATCTTATTTTCTGAAACCATCTAATTGCCATCTGGCAACATAATCATTCCAACCAAGTTTAAATCATTTCCTGCTGAAAATGAACGAAATATACCCAAAAGTGTTATTTCTCTATATAAACTATAGTCAAATTAACCCCCTCACCACCCCCTCACCAAGGGAGAACGGGTGGCCCGGAAGTACTGAAATTTTCACTCTAAATAAATCCCCTGATGATTTTTCCATACATGCAAATACATTGACAGTAGTACCTCTGAGTTTGGAGAAGAAGATTTTTGAGTTGTTGAGTAGAAGTCGAAAATGTAAAAAGTTTACGCACGACGAACGACGCACGACGTTTCCTTACCTTGCCATGTTCTAACTCTACACGTAGACCTTCCATCATTAAGAATAATTGCTCCCTTCTTGAAATTTCATCCTCTCTGCGCGAGAGTTCTAATTCTCTTCTAGCTAATTCTTGTTCCCTATCGTTCATTTTGTCAGTTGTTTTCTCAATCTGTCCATGGTGTTCTTCCTGAGAGTTTGTCCTTTCTTCTTTTTTATTATCATCTGTGGCATCAAGACAGTTAGTAGCCATAGTTGCACACACTGAAACAAAAATCGCAAATCAGGTTTTTTTTAAACTTTATTGATTATTATTTTCTTATACATTCATTTAATTACAAAATTAACACTGCTGACGAAAACTTGCATGTCAGTATAGATATATACTTCTATATCATGAGAGACTTTCAATTTATTTCTTTTTAAATATAAGTTAAGATTAGGAAACTTTATTTCCTATTCAGGACTTATACATATAGCCCTCTATACCAGACTCAAAAAATACATACTTATTGTATAAGCTAGCGCATAGTGCGCTTGCAAAGCTATGTCATTCAAATAGATCGTAAATACCATAAATAAAAACAGTTCAATACTTATACTTACAATTATATTTAAAATTTAAAATTTTCCCCTTATCGACAGTTCACACAAATTCGTGTTGTCGCGTGCTGATTGGAAAACAAAGTAGTACTTTGAAATTTTATCATTCCACAATTCAGTATCAATACAATTGCGTATGACATGTCTATAGGCTGATTTAATTTTATCAATAGAAATCTGAGCTGAAAGTAAGATTTGAAATTGTTTCGATTTTCCCCCAGAACAAATTTCTCGCGTGGATAAATACAGTGAACACCGTAATCCGACTTTGCCCTCCACGAGGGAGTTATTTTGGGAAGTTGAATGAGCAGGGAGAAATGAAAAATCCAGTCGTGAATTTATTTGTTAAATGTATGGGAACCTAACTACAGTCGGTAGATTCTACAACAGCCTCGTTATTTTAAATGTCGTCAGAAACTGAGAAAACCGTGGCTGATAGACGCGTGATAGTCATCATCATACAGAGCACAGGGGTTCGTTACAAATGTCTGAAATACACATATGCCTTGTGTTTATTTATGTGTGCTGTGACTCATATCAGTAGGTCTATAACATCTGTGTATTTCAGACATTTGTAAAGAACCCCTGTGGATCAGTGCATTGTAACAGCCGATATTTCTGAAACGAGTTGCAGGGGTGTTAAAATTGTTCCCATTACCGGCATTGGTTATTTAAATTGATGTGCATTTTGTTAGATATTGCAGACCTTGATTTTGTTTTTGTTGTAATAAAAGGTGTGTTTTTCAATATTTTCCTGGTGTTTTTTTACACAGTTTCATTTACATTCTCACAATGCCCAGCGATATTTCAGCAGCAGCCATATTTGTTTACATTGGATATTGTAGTTCCGGTCGGTTTTGTATTAATACGCTAAGAATAATGTCTCGTGGTGCATGGTAATAAAGTCCCATCAACGACACAGCTTTCAAATAGCCTATATAGTGACAATGCCATGCAAATGTAAATATAAAGTTTTATTATGCATATAATATATACAATTTGACAATTATATGATTGCAGCTCTGTAGTTTTTCCAGTGGTTGTCTAGTTCATTTTTTAAATTTGTTAACATTATTTGTTGAAGTAACATATTCAGGTAGTTTTTCCCATGTTGATGGCGATCTTTTGAAAAAGAGTTTTTCCTCTCTTACTCTTCTGAAGGCTAATGTTGGAAGCTGGAGGCTTTCCAGTCTCTGGCTTTAGCTGAGGTTACTCATGCCTGGAAGGTACTTGGTTGCTCTTCGTTGCACTCCCCCTATCTTATCGATGTGCCTTTTTAGGTAAAGTGCCCATACAGGGCTCGCATAGTCCAATTGTGAGCGTACTAGGTATTTGTATAATTGAACAAACGACCTTTGATCCATAAACTGGAATGTTCTCCTTAGAAGTGCAAACATGTAATTCGCTTTTTTATTTTTTCACTTATGTGGTTATGAAAGGATAAATTGGAGTCTATGATAGCCCCGATATCCTTTTCCTGGGTGATTGTCTGTAAGTTTTTACAATAGAGATGATAGGTTGGTCCGGGGGTTTCCTGTCCTCGGGTGGTCTCCTTACCCAATCTCATGTGTTTGCACTTGTCGGGATGCATTTTAAGTAGCCATGTGTCGCTCCACTTACACATTGTATCTAGACCTTTCTGGAGATCATCACTATTTTCTCTGTTTTTTATTATTTTAAAAATATTGGTGTCATCTGCAAAGAGATACATTTCTGACTGGACCGAGCTTGGAAAAAATCTGCCATATATACTAGGTTGTACCCGACTGATTTTCTTGTATTATATATCGTATGTGCCTGTATAAAGTTACTGTCATGCAGATTATTTCCTTGTGCTGTTGTTGTTGATAGTGGTTGCTGCTACTGTGGAGCTGATGATGCCACCATTTTTATCTGCCATTGCCTACAGACACATATCAGAGAGTGAAGATGACCGTATTGTTCAGGCTACCAGGAGTGTAATGGCTAGACTGATATACGCAATGAAGAACAGGTAGGTCATGTGACATCGATGGGTCACATGATAAACATTGTGATACATATGGGAAGATCATGTGATACACATAGGTATGATGTGTGTTTACACATGGGTAGGACGTAATACACACTGGTATTGCGGAAAGTAGATAAAGGAAGTAAAAAAAGGTTTATTAAGATGACAACATGTAACAACCAATAAAATAGCTATACAATAAAAACATAGCCATCGGTTTTAAGAAAGGAAGTAAAATAAAGGAGAAAAAAAGCTCTAAGTGTAACGTACTTGTCGTTTTGGCAGTCCGCCAAATTGTATTCGGCCATATTAATTTTAAAAATATATCCGGAAGTTTATTTTTTATATCAAAATGTGAATTTATACTTATTTGTTAATATATATGTAAGACGAATACTGATACTTGATAGAATATTTTGAACAGTATGTACATTATTTAAAGGCGATTCTAGACGCCCATGTACACTGTATGTATATCTGTATACATGTTTATGTCATATAAATTTGAAAATATAATAAGAAAAATGAAAAAAATGAAATTTAAAAAAAAAAAAAAAAAAAAAAAAAAAAAAAAATTAAAAAAAAAAAAAAAAAAAAAAAAAACCGAAAGGAACTCTCCGATCAATTTTAAAAACGAAGGGAATCTTTGATCCCTGTTACATTATAATATTGATTGATACCGAAAATAACAATCACGACGTATTCAGCGACATATTCAAGTTTTAATATCTTTAAAGATGTTCGGGAACCGCTATGTGATTTCCACTTTATATTGCCATGCCGAAATATTGTACACACCTAGTGAATTAACACTTCTTCCAAATCGTCGATTTCAAAACATTGTCTGGAATTCAAAATGCAGCTACCTACAACAGGGTAACGGTGCAGGTAGTTCATGTTACTTCCGATAATCCTCTAATTATCTGACATCAGGCCGACACCTGTATTTAAAAGCACAATGAGCGTGGACCGCAGTCTGTGCCTCGAGGCATGTCGTTTTCATGCGGCTCTACACATGAGTGTGTTTACCTGTACGAGGAATTCGGGATATAAGAGCAATGACAACTTTCGAGTTATCCAAGGTTAATTTACAAAAAAATATATTTAAGAACACGATCAGGAAAAAGCGAACAATTCGAGGAATAGGGGGTATTCGAAAAATGCGAGTTCGAGTAAGTGGCGTTTTACTGTACATCGAAATACAGTGAATATAAATCACATATGATGCTTTTAAATTTGTCTAACAGCAAGTTAAAAAAATCCATTCGTGAATACAAGTTGGACGGCGCAGGCTTAAACTATATCTGCTTAATTGATTCTTCATGGTTTTATACAGGCATTGTTCAATAACATTTACAAAAACAATCTCATGTAAAACATATATCATTAATAAAATATAATTGTACATATGTTTAAAAAGAAGAATCTCAATATACGCTTACCTCATAAGAAACCAAATGTACACGTCTCCGTGTAAATCCCCAATGATTTGTGCCTACATATATTCATAGTACGCATGCGTAAGAAGTAGGTAACCCAGGGTGATTGCCGACAGGTAGCTCGGTGTGATTGCCGACAGGTCTAGAATTTTCCACCGACACGAAAGCAGATTTTGCAACTGACACCACTCACAATAAATCTACGTCGTTAAAAATTCACTTACGCTGAATTAAAATAAAAATGGCTCGTTAAAATCATCTTTTGAAGAAGATTATAAGACTCTGTCATGCATAGGGCTGTAGGATAGGGTAATTCCACCCGAGGGGTTTTCAAATTTGGTAAAACCTGAGGCTTTGCCGATGGTTTTACCCAAATTTGAAAACCCCAAGGGTGGAATTTCCCTATCCTGCACACTTTGGCATGAAAGAGTATTTTTCTCTCATTCCAACCACCAGAATAAGCTCAGAAACCATGAAATGTGTTTGGACTGGCAACCATTTTGAAAATATCGATGTTTTCCATGAACTATTTAGACGAAAGCCAGCCTTATTTAGCAGATCACATATTCGCAAATATTGTTTGCCTATAAAAATTAATCTCATCGTTCTAATGTGTACGGTATATATATCGTAAAAGATTTTAATTTCATCACGTCGCTTTTTCCGCATTGCGGCATCGGAGAGTTCCAAATTCGTGACGTCGCCTCATTGTTGAGCCATGGTAACGTCACGTCACGTAAAATGGGGTGCAAGATAGAAATGTCCTACACCTCTTTCACACCGAGACAGCTCTATCTTACACAGTCTGTGCCTCGAGGCATATCGTTGTCACGCGGCTATACACGTGAGTGTGTCTACCTGTTCGAGGAATTCGGGTTATTAGAGCAATGACAACTTTCGAGTTATCCGAGGTTAATTTACAAAGAATATTTAAGAACACGATCAGGACAATGCGACAAATTCGAGGAATAGGGGGATTCGAGTAATGCGAGTTCGAGTAAGTGGCGTTTTACTGTACTTCGAAATACAGTGAACATAAATCGCATATGATGCTTTTAAATGTGTCTAACAGCAAATTAAAAAAAAATACAAAATCTATTTGTAGATACAAGTTGGACGGCACAGGCTTAAACTATATCTGCCTAATTGATTTTTCATGGTATTATACAAGCATTGTTCAATAACATTTACAAGAACAATCTCATGTAAAACATATTTCATTAATAAATTATCATTGTACACATGTTTTAAAAAGAAGAATCTGAATATAAGCTTACCTCATAAGATTTTTCTTTACACGTCTCCGTGTAAATCCCCAATAATTTGTTCCTACATATATTCACAGTACGCATGCGTAACAAGTAGGTAACAATGGTTGATTGCCAACAGGTAGCCCTGGGTGATTGCCGACAGGTCTAGATTTTTTGCTCCGACACGGAAGCAGATTTTGCAACTGACACCACTCACAATAAACCTACGCCGTTAAAATACCTCTATCACTTACACATAACTAAACAAAACTATGAATCGTTAAAATCTTCTTTTGTAGAAGATAATGATTTCCTATTGCAGGCAAGAACACATTATTATATCAGAAGTGTTTTTACATTGTCATCTGAGGTAAATAATAAAAATTGAGGGGAGTTCAAATGGTCATTTTACATAACCTTTCTAGTCAATAGGTAACCTAAAGAATACATTTACCGTTGTTTTTAAAACAATGCAAAGTGTCATTGAAATGGGTTTTTTTATAATCTTTTTCATTCTAATATAGCTACAATAACACCTAATGTTTACAAAATCACACAAACCAATAAATAACCAAACAACCAAAAATGCTATGTGTAACGTACTTGTCGTTTTGGCAATCCGCCAAATTGTAGGAACTCTCCGATAAATTTTTAAAACGAAGGGAATCTTTGATCCCTGTTACATTATAATGTTGATTGGTACCGAAATTAACAATCACGACGTATTCAGAGACATACTCAAGTTTTAATACCTATTCGAGGAATTCGGGGTATAAGAGCAATGGCAACTTTCGAGTTATCCGAGGTTTATTTAAGAACAACACGATCAGGAAAAAGCGAACAATCCGAGGAATAGGGGGTATTGGAGTAATGCGAGTTCGAGTAAATGGCGTTTTGCTGTATTTCAAAATACAGTGAATATAAATCACATTTGATGCTTTTAAATTTGTCTAACAGCAAGTTAAAAAAATCCATTTGTGAATACAAGTTGGACGGCGCAGGCTTAACCTATTTCTGCTTAATTGATTCTTCATGGTATTATACAGGCATTGTTCAATAACATTTACAAAAACAATCTCATGTAAAACATATATCATTAGTAAAATATAATTGTACATATGTTTAAAAAGAAGAATCTCAATATACGCTTACCTCATAAGAAACCAAATGTACACGTCTCCGTGTAAATCCCCAATGATTTGTGCCTACATATACTCACAGTACGCATGCGTAAGAAAAAGGTAACCCGGTGTGATTGCCGACAGGTCTAGAATTTTCCACCGACACGGAAGCAGATTTTGCAACTGACACCACTCACAATAAACCTACGCCGTTAAAATACCTCTATCACTAACGCTGAATTTAAAAAAGATATGACTCGTTAAAATTTTCTTTTGTAGAAGATATAATTTCCTATTGCTGGCAAGAACACATTATATTAACATCAGAAGTGTTTTTACATCGTCATCTTAGGTAAATAATAAAAATAGAGGGGAGTTAAAATGGTCATTTTACATAACCTTTCTAATCAATAGGTAACCCAAAGAATACATTTACCGTTGCTCCTAAAACTCTTAATGCAAAGTGTCATTGAAATGGGTTTTTTAATAATCTTTTTCATTTTAAAGATAGCTTCAATAGCACCTACTGTTTACAAAATCACACAAACAAACAACCAAACGAATAATCCATCTCATGTGTGCCTACTTGAAGTTATTTTGCTTCAAACTTTCCTACGATGTCTATGTGACCGAGCTATTATCAGAAATTTCCAGTAATGTTTATAGAAATAAATACCTGCCCAAATGTTCATAGCAATACCAAATGGTAATGAAATATTCATAAATATCTGTATGTCTGTTTTAAACTTATACCAAGTATTTAATTTTACAAGCTTCCCACTAAGTGTATATCCACTATCAAGTCTGTATGCATGTCCAGTACTGAACAATAACTCAGAGCTAATGTACAAATGACGTCACTCGGCATATCAGTATCACTGTGATTAGTTATGTGGTAAACATAAAGGTTCAAATTTCTGCTGTTAGCTATATACATTACACACCTTACTATTCATACTATGTAGGCATTCCCCCGATCCTCTTTGTGCTGTTTGGCTCTTGTAAACACACAAAGGATCTCTGTTTCTGTTCTGTTTGCAGCGGTTCCGGGGGCCTTCTCAGGGTCATTCATCTACACCCGGATTTTCTGCATCGGTAAGATCAAATGTCCTTACCAGCTGAGGGGGTGGGGGTGGGGTCAAAAAGGGGGAAAATGGTAAGTCTTCAAACATCTTTTTCTAAACCAAAAAAGAGATTTTGTCAGATTTGTTCCAGAGTATCTTTGGACAAAGGGGCTCAATTTTGTAAACAAAAGATTATGGGGGGCAGTGGGGCAGGGCCCAAGAGGAGAAATAGAGGAATACCGTTCTCCTTCTGTACAAATGAAGGTCCAAACCAAATGTGGGCTCAAGAATGCTAAGGGAAAAGGACTCAAGTTTGTATTAACTGAGGCTGTGGCCCCTTTAGGGCAGAGGGTTGGGACTCAATAGGGAAAATATAGGAACATTTTGAATTTCTTCTTCTGGCTTTTATCCTAATTTGTTCTAGAGCATCTTTAGGCAAAAGGAATTCGATTTCGGCAAAAGGAATTCAATTTTTGATTAAACGGATGATGGGGGCAGCGGGGAGCGGGGAGGGCCTTATTTGGAGAAATAGAGAGAGAAAAAATATACTTCTATACAAATGTGGTCTGGAGCATACCTAGGGAAAGAGGACTCGATTTTGTATAAACTGAGGCAGTGGCCCCGATTCAGGGCTGAGGGGTTGGGCTCAATATGGGATAGAGGTAAATCATTGAAAAGATTTCTCCTTCTATATGAATAGATTATTTGTAGGCAAAGGCGTCTATAAATGTGTTGTATAAATGGAGGGTGTGGTCTCCTTGTTGACGAGGGGCGGGACCAAATATTGTAAAGAAAAGAAACTAATCATAAGATGTTTTTCTTTCGATACAAATGAAGGGGTTTAAACCAATTTTGATAAGGAGAACCTGAACGAAAAGACAATTAAGTTTTGTATAAAAGGAGGGTACCCCCTCCTCTCCATGGGGTAGATGGGTGGGCCCAATAGGGGAGATAGAGCTTTATATTTAAAATGCTTCTTCTCCCAAAGGGATGGAGGGATTGTAACCAAATTTGGTCTAGAGAATCCTTATCATGTGCGACTTAGGTTTATATGAACAGTTTGTGTGGCCCCAAGTGGGAAAAGGATGTGCCAATAGAAGAAATAGAAGTAAATCAAGGAAATCCTTCATCTTCCATACGAATTCATGGATTGTATCCCCACCCTGTAACCAAATATACAAATGTTAGACATGGAGAGAAAAACATTCATGCTTCCAGGATTGACCCGCAGGTCCAGACCAACCCCTGGAGACTACCTCCCTGTGTCATATAATGAAAACAATGGAGATACCAAACCTATTACCTATGTTTTTGGTATCATATCTTCTCTAACAGATCGACATTTAGTCCTTCTCGAACTTGTTTTTCTTGTACTCTTGTACCCAGCAGGTTTCAGGCTTGTATCCTTAAGCATACACTGAAATTTTCAATAATTATTTTTTGATCATATTTTTTTTTATTAATTTCTTTTTTGAAAATCAAAATTATTAAAATTTTAAAAAGTTATTGAGGCCCCTGGGTCAATACGACAATTAAAATGTTAACACTTAAGTTAAATAAGGCTCCAGAAAACCCGAATTATCTCTAAGGCATTTAATTGAGTCATTTGAAAACAATGAGATAATCAAACACGTGTGTACACACCGCATCGATATTCATATTACAGTACAATTGTTATCAAATACAAGTAGGAAATTAATATTCTGATTCTGTTTTATCACTTGTAATAATATTTTAATAAGAACTACAAGGAAGAGTACATTCAAACATGTTTTATGCTTCTCATTTGAAAGCAGATGACACGATTCTGTGTAACATTCATAATTAAACAAGACTATACATGTATTTGTTTCTCGTAAATTTATTTTACTAGCTATGCAAGAAATTTCTGGATAATAATACATTCTTTTTACAAATCATTGTATATTATATGCAGATTTCCTAAGGAGTGAAAGATGATTACCATGTTTTTTGCTAATTCGATGTTTTATAAACTATTAAGAATTGAGTAAACGTGATAATTAATTATCAAACCTAAAGAATTCCCGACACACTTTAGACAAAATACGAGAAAATTCCGTTTTAATATTTATTATGCAGAGTAACCTTCCCTTCATGTCGTAAAAGATAGATTACTATAGGGCGACTGGAACAGTGAACTGTCATTTATCAGGTGTCTCACTTGTTTACAGCGACAGTTATTTTTTATTTATTTTTCACAAATGTTCCGAAAGGTAAAGCTTCTTTTTCAGCAAAACGATTCATTGGTATCAATTGTATAGTCATGCCGGAAAAAATGTTTCCAACGCATAGTGACATTTTTCGGCAGTGGCGCAGGCATCCCTTAAAAGTAATGTATCTCACATTATCATTATATGACGTACAGTTATGGCAAACAAAAACATAAACATAACAAGTACACATATCTTGGGACGATGCATTTTGTGATAAAAAATCATTTAAAGGGCAAGACCTCTTTATTAACAAAAACCGTTTCTGACGACATCATACATAGGTCACGTGACATACCTTGCTAGCACCATATATATTTATATAATGCCTCAAGAATACTGAATGGAGAAAAATGAAAGATAAGTCTAATATCATAATAACAAAAATGTAGGAACAGGTAGGTCCCTTTTAATATCAATTAAGAATAATTTCTGTACTTTTAGGAATAATATATATCAAATCTTCTATTGGTTAATCTTTTAAGAATAAATATGTTATAGTTCCTTGTTTCCTTGTTCATATTTTGCCCTAGTTTTATCGATTTCGAGTTCGTAATACGGTATTGTTGACACTTTATTTTTTTCTCTCAAAATTAGTATGGTAATGTATAAGTCGTATTTATGTATCGTCCAGCAATCAGAAATAAATACCATTGAATCAGTGTCCTCTATATTAATACTTTTTAACGACTATATTCTTTTCTTATTTCGTAAAAAAAATTTCGAGTTAGTTCATTAAAAGACAGTTCAATCACGATTAATTCGAAAGTAATGTTTGAAATTCATATAATTCAAGGTTTTACGCTGCTCCCCTTTTGTTTCAATAGTAATAAGATCAAATTGTATTACATTTATTTGCCACTAGCAATAGTGACTAGTAACTAGCAACTAGAATAATATTTATTTTGATTGTTATTTTAAACTCCCCATGTAAATAGCACCAAACAATCAGTACCAAAACTTACAGTACAAATAATAATGAACATACAAACATAGATATATAACATGTATACAAGTATAAACAAACGAAACGAAATAACCAGAAAAAATACCTGTTTTTGCGAATAAAAGTTGTGAACATACTTGACTAGTAGTTTTGACTAATCGATTTTTCGGCTTGGTGAAACAGAAATTGCCCAGAAAAATTGAACATAAATTCTGTAAAAAGCTTTTCGTTTTTGTGTTACTCCCTATAATATATATATGTGTGTGCATGTGTGTGTGTGTGTACAGTTATAAAGCTGTCGGTAAAGTCAAAGGTCATTGCACACAGCTTGATACTTAATCACACGATGTAAAATTTACTCCTGATTAACCAACTAAAACAAGAAAATATATATTATGTACGTTGTAAGACGATACTGAGGTCGACATATTATGAATAAACACACATACTCAACCGAGTGTACAATACACACATACACATACATGAACTTCCTTGTGTAGTCTATTTAACGACCTGTAAGCTCACCTGTGTACCTTCAATAAACACTTTTAACACTGATAAGATAAAAATATATACTCGTGCAATACTCATAAAAAATTCATCTAAATTTATTAGTTAATATCATGTTTTATCATATGTATTCACATGCTAATAATATTTTAACTGTAATAGTACCAGCCAATAGTTTGGTTGTTTCAGTTTTATATTCGAATTCCTTTCTCCGTATTTATGGTTTAATGCAAGATCCCTAAGGTATGACATAATTTATATTGATATGTTGCTACCTGTGTTTTACCGTCACGCAATTAGATCAGCTGACACGCCAGCGAAGGTTTGCATGACCTCCGTAATCTATACCTAGGGCTGATAATACTGAAATCGCATCTAGCCTTTGTCTTTGGGTGTACGCTATTTAGGTTACAGTTATTTACTGAGGTGACTCATGCACTTGACATTGTAAATTTTGGCTACATTCGGCACTTATGTTTCTTTTTACTCATCAACAGCCACATTTTTTTCTCTGAAATACTAGTATTTAAAGCATCGTTGCTAGCCATAGAGAATACAAACTTTACTATGGAAAACACATTCTGTTGTTTTTCATGAAATAGCGATATAATAAAGTGCTTATCTATGGAAATATGTTGCTGAAAATTTTCTTTCTTGTTCTTGATGTTGTATTTCCGGAACTTTGATTTCTTGTCCTGATATCAAATGTGTCGAACAAATTTAAACTGGCGGCAAAATTGAGTAATTATTAAAGAAAAAACAATTCATCTAAATATCACTAATATCATTTAAAACCATTTAAACAGAACAATAAATACCAACTTGTTCTGAGAAATTGCATGAGTTGAATACATTAGAAGCTATATAATCTGGACGTGATTTGTTTCTGGACGCTTATATTTAGAAAATTATTTTAATTACATTGTTTTCTTTAAAACTCAAACAAGGCATCGCAAACGGTTCCGAATCCCTCGAAAACACAACAATTATTCAGAAAGTATATATCTGTCACCTAGCAAACCGAAATTATTTTCCTACCTGGTAACAAGTTTCATTGTATTTATTTATAGTTCCACATTTAGTCATTGATTTTTGTCTCGGGAGTCGCTAGAGTGAGAAAATTTCCATCAATACTATCGGTGACCTTCACATTGTCATTTTGAGCATACACAAACACTTTTGAGGTATTCTCATGTTTGTCTACTGCACATAGTTTACACTATTGACAATACGTTCTACACGTACGAATACGTACATATAAAACTAACACTACATACTCTCCCAGACCTTGAGGAAATAATAATGTCAGTCAACTAGTATGTACTATCCATCAAATTTGAACACAGTTATAACGTATTTTTTCAGTGATATTGCAACTCCCCCCCCCNTTTCTCTCAGATGGTATTGTTAACAAATCAACATGCTCTACATTATAAACATTCGTCACTGCATGTTTCTCTTTCTTTTTGGTCAGCTGGCTTCCCAGTTTGGACAGTGTATTGTCCATGCTTTCTATGCATGCGTTTTGCATAGTAATTGCCCTGGACTGTCTTACCAGTGTCCCTGTCATCTCCCAAAGTCTTTTCATTAATATATTTGTCCTCTTCTCCTTTCGGAGGAGTCTTTGTGTTAACAGCTTGTTTTGAAGTTTCTGTTGATTGTATTTTGCAGCATTATACTCATTTTCTTTGTCAGTGCATTCACCGGAAAACGCAGAAATCTTAAAACCCTCGCCTTCGTTTGCACTGGAAGGAGGAAGAACTGCTCTTGCAAGAGAAGGACTTCTGGGTTCAAACATATGAACCGTTATTACCGCACTCCTTGTGAAAGAACAAAGGCCAGGTGTCATAATGTCTTGTTTTCCAGAAAGAAGTTCGAAGTTGGGACAGTCCATGTCAAATAAATGTTCCTCTGGTGTCACTTTCTCGTTCAATTCATCAGCCACAATACCAACGAGAGGCAAATCACAAACGGGCACATCGACTTCCAACGTACAAGAATCAAATTTATCTTCTGTTTCTTCATCGATGAATCCGGGATTATCAAGCCCTGTACATCCATTGACAATAAGCAGTTCTTTTAGACAATTGTTGGACTTTTTCTTGTGATGTTTTGGGCGGGTTGATTTAAGCAGCCATCGCTTAATTGTAACCATTCGTGATACTTTCTGGCCCTCGTCGGAAGACCTCATCCATTTTGGTTTAAAGAATGACGATGTTGTCTGTCTATGTTCTTCCACTGTGATGTTGAGGGATATGACCGACTTCGATGAATGTCGAATATGTTCAGCATTTTCCTCGTTGAATTCGATCTGTCGTATCTCACTCTTTGTTATCCGTCTATGCATCTCAAGACTACGATCAAGAAAAAAAGGGAAATAATGAGTGAGTTTATAGATAAAAGCAAATAGATGGGGTTTTTTCAGCCAAAATAATATACCTAACTACAAAATAATACCTTTAAATGGAGTATTGTTGCAGTGAATTACATTAATATCAAGTAATCAATACGCGTTTGCGCTGGTTCTATTTATAACTAGAACGGCCATTTTGAATTTCCTTATACATTATTTACCTATTTTAATACCATTTGAACACTTTCTCTTGGTTGATATCTTCTTCAATAATACGTTTGTCTTTTTTGGAAATATTAAACCTTTGAATATGAACTCAAAAAAGACACTTACCTGTATATGTGTAACTGGCCAAGATACTGTTATCCCTGGTACATCAAACGACTCCAAAACACACCCACGCTCTATCACTTCGAACACCTTAGAACAGTCTATTTTCAATACTTCCTGTCTTCCTATCTCATATATGTAAACAACTGTTACCTGGGATAGGTGTATACTGAAACGTCATCTTCTTCTAAATAACAGGTAAATATCACTAATTGTTTCCTTGGATAGATTTATATATTGCCCTCGCATCGACGTAGCCTTTGCCGTCCTATAATGGGTAGATTGTGACTGTTTGCTAAAAATAGATGACTTATTCAAATAAGCGAAGTTTATAATACCGTATAACATAATACACCAGCTCAGAATAAACTCCCCTGACATACTCACCAATTTGTACGTTTCCTTTTATTGATCACACATCACAAACAAACCTCCTGAGGATTATCTTCTCCGCATGGGTTATACAAACAGTGTTAATGCCGAGACTCCAACAAAAAAATAGCAACTTTCATGATAATATATATATATATATATATATATATATATATATATTACAAATACTAGCTTGTTTTATTTATTAATCATTTAACAAAACAAAGCAAATATTTGACTAAATATGAAGACAACAGATGTAAAATTGGATGCAATTCTTTTCATTAATATTTATTGATTTGTCACTACATATATATCGAGTTCAAATACACATCAAGGCTATCTTAGTAACATAATAAACAGAAATGATGTTTTCATTACTTTAGGTAGTATATACTAGTAAATGATTTTTTTGTACAAATGTTTTTATTATCCTTTAACATATCTAGTTGTTTCCCTTTAGAGTTTTATTATGTTATGGTATTGCTCAGATACTCAAATTCTCAAGTACAACAGATCTCTTTGCTTTTTTTCCGTAATTTCCACCAAAACCATATAAACAAGCAATATATGTATTCTTTCAATAAATAACAAAAGCCGTTATTTTCTATTTTTATCACAAAATAATTTGAAAAAAATAACCTTAAATATGTTCAAATTCATGAATAAAAACTTGGCTTATAAAGAAAAATGTCAGTATCAAGAAAAAGGAATTTTGAGTTTATGAATGAAGTAAGGTATATTTCATTTTACTACAGGGAGTACATCACGCACAAAACAGATAAGGACTGTTATCTTGTAATCATATTAACTAGGAAACAATATGGCTACAACATGGTATTAAATTAGAGTTAAGACGGCTATGAACTTGAAACTTGAATGTATTCAACTACGGAAAGTTACTCTAGCGTGTAACTATGGTGTAAAGCTAGCACGCACACGTATGTAGCAAACACATCTGTGTGTGGAAATAATGACCTCATTCATATTGAAAAAAGGTTGGGTTTTTTCATTTAAACACCTTGTGTGACGTCAACAGAAAATGTTAAAAAATGATAAATCATTAAATGATAATAACCCATAGAAATAGCATGGATTGCCATATATTGATCAGTGTGTAAAGTATTTTCCGGGTGACAAGCTTATATATATACATATAAATATGTGTATGTGTGTGTGTGTGTGTGTGAAGATAAAATGGGTCGAAAACGGGTAGTTTGTGTACATGTGTGAATCATATACACCGACTTTTGATTCCGGTTGGGGTTTTCAGTTCTAAATATAGAATACACACCCTTAGGGGTTTTTCCAAAAGGCTACAGCATATGAATAACCCGCTTTCTACGTTTACTAGAAAATTTAACTGCTTCAAATCCTTTGTTTTTATCAAATTATCAGTATTTTTGTTTTCTGTAACCCGTCACATATAGCCATACAATTTTTTGCATTATTTTCGATACCTTTATTTTCTTACGTCAAACTATATCACCACAATTATACTATCTCAGCACAGTTACGTTTGATCAACAAAGTTTAAATAGATCACATTGGTTACACGTTATCACCTTATTTACAGTTACACTATATTACCGTAGTTACCCTTTATAACCACAATAATACTATCTCAGCATAGTTCCATTTAATCAACAAAGTTAAAATAGATCACATTTGTTACACGCTATCACCTTAGTTACACTATATTACCGTAGTTACCCTTTATAACCACAATTATACTATATCAGCACAGTTACACTATAAAACAATAGTTTCACAATATCAACATAGTTACACTATGATGTATTACCATAGTTACATTTTATCACCACAGTTACACTATATAACCATTGTTACACTATATAACCATTGTTACACTATATAACCATTGTTATATTTTATTCCCACAGTTACACTATATAACCATTGTTATATTTTATTCCCACAGTTACACTATATAACCATTGTTACACTATATAACCATTCTTATATTTTATTCCCACAGTTACACTCCATCACCTAAGTTATACCTTATGACCACAATTACATTATATCAGCACGGTTACACTGTAACACCTCAGTTACACATTTTCACTATAGTTAAACTATATCATTACAGTTACATTCTATAACCGTTGTTACACAACATCATCATAGTAACATTTTATCACCATATTTACAATTTGTCACCATGGTTACACTATATAACAATAGTCACATGTGAAAGGACATATGTATCACCACAGTAACAGTTAATCACTATGATCACAATAATACATTATATCACTATTTCATCACAGATATATTTTATCACCCTTAATCATTAAGTTAAAACTTTATTACCAGTTACACTTTTTGTATATATAATCAGAAATGTGTAAGTAAAGTAGCACATATCCATATTATAAACATGTGTATGACAATGGCAATTAACAATACTTATGTAACTCAAATGCATATGTATACACCGTAAAGACCTTCTTAAATACTAACGGTAATGAATGTTTAATATACGACCACATACATATAATATTTTATTTTTTTATATAGGTGAATAAAAAACACGTTTAGAACATCTAGAAAAGCTCCTGTTGGGTGAAGGTTTCCAGTTTTTCAATTTTTTCCGTCACAACATCGTGCCGTCACAGAATTCCATGAGTATTGAGGCAATATTTCAGATTTCAAGTAAAACTGAGAAAATTTAGTTTCTTGCAAAGGTTTTAAACAAATTTTGGTTCTGTGATAAACCTTATCTAACCATCGTCTCAATTTCATATGAAATAAATGAAACAAAACTATTGATTTTGAATTTTCGCAACCCGTTGGAGAGTTTACATGGAAACTCATGCGATATCCTCTATTTATTCATCAATACCAAAACAAACAAAGGCTCTCTTACAAATCTCTCTTCTACTACTCTCTATATCAAATATACCATTGTTGCCCGGGGGGAGGGGCAGTTGCCTTCGTCCCTCCAGCCCATCCCCGCACCCCCACATTCACCCCACCCACCCACGCACACGTCTCCACGATTATTTCAAAAGATATCGACTGACTTTTCTGACATGGTCATACTTGAAATTCTAAAGCTCCCAAACCCCTCTTTATCCCAGTTTCAATCCCCTCTCCCCCTTTCCAGCTTACGGGACTAAGGCTATGCTGTTCATCATGGTAACACCCGCCAACGAGTTGTTTAAAATATAATTTCAGACACTTTTTTTTAGTTGGAACGTGATCGTGTTACATGTGATTACGTCGTTTGCATATGTTAACTATTTAAATATTTTAAGCGTTGTTTGTGTAAGTCTTTTGTTCGTCTTTTGTGCCCCTGTGGCGAGCCGCCAAGGAAAATATCAGGCATGACTGATGAAATGCTAATTTTCAGAAAGAGGAATATACATTGTAGCACTTTATAAAATGTGTTAAGTAATTTCATCTAGTGAAATTACAATACTAACAATTGCAACAACAAAAGAAACAGGAAGGATAGTAATGATACCTTTGAAAATTGAATAAAGAGTTACATTAGAAAAAAATAAAATTCAGTAAGCAATTACATTAAATAATATCGAAACTTAACAAAGTCAAATAAAACAATTTCAAAACCTTCATATATCTGGTAGAACAGGTAACCAGTATCAAAGTTCCCGAGTCTGGCCCCCCAAAAAAGGTAAATATTTAACTAACGACAAAGTTAAATACACACTCTTTTTTGAACATATGACCCTAGTTAATCGACGTTATTTGATATGGTACTGTTTAGATTTCAGAGACACAAGGGTTTTCGTCAATATTGTGACAACATATTTTAACAGAACAAAAGTGTGTGATCATATTGTCAAAATCGGCCATCAAAAAAACGTAAGTTACAGACAAAAGAACAAATAACACAAAACTAAAAAAGTAAATCGGGACTATCAAATATAGATATGAAGAAGTGAATGTACTCTCTACTGTGGGAAAGTAAAATCCGAGTCTTGCCAAAGCTTTGGGCCCGTATTCATGAAACCATTCTCATGCTCAAGGATGGATTTTCCGCTCGAGCCTAATTTCTTGTTCCGTTTATGAACTAATAATAATAAAATCGTATTTTGTCAATGCTTTTCCGAAGAGACTTAAAGTCGAATACTGTTTTCACCCCACCCACCCACGCACACGTCTCCACGATTATTTCAAAAGATATCGACTGACTTTTCTGACATGGTCATACTTGAAATTCTAAAGCTCCCAAACCCCTCTTTATCCCAGTTTCAATCCCCTCTCCCCCTTTCCAGCTTACGGGACTAAGGCTATGCTGTTCATCATGGTAACACCCGCCAACGAGTTGTTTAAAATATAATTTCAGACACTTTTTTTTAGTTGGAACGTGATCGTGTTACATGTGATTACGTCGTTTGCATATGTTAACTATTTAAATATTTTAAGCGTTGTTTGTGTAAGTCTTTTGTTCGTCTTTTGTGCCCCTGTGGCGAGCCGCCAAGGAAAATATCAGGCATGACTGATGAAATGCTAATTTTCAGAAAGAGGAATATACATTGTAGCACTTTATAAAATGTGTTAAGTAATTTCATCTAGTGAAATTACAATACTAACAATTGCAACAACAAAAGAAACAGGAAGGATAGTAATGATACCTTTGAAAATTGAATAAAGAGTTACATTAGAAAAAAATAAAATTCAGTAAGCAATTACATTAAATAATATCGAAACTTAACAAAGTCAAATAAAACAATTTCAAAACCTTCATATATCTGGTAGAACAGGTAACCAGTATCAAAGTTCCCGAGTCTGGCCCCCCAAAAAAGGTAAATATTTAACTAACGACAAAGTTAAATACACACTCTTTTTTGAACATATGACCCTAGTTAATCGACGTTATTTGATATGGTACTGTTTAGATTTCAGAGACACAAGGGTTTTCGTCAATATTGTGACAACATATTT